GATAGTTAATGATTAACACAAATAAGAATTATAACAATAATAATGACAATAATGATAAAAATAATAGTAACAATGAAAATGGTAATGATGATAATAATAACGAAGTTGACATTGGTAATAATGATAATGATAATGATGATGATAGTAATGGTATTAACAAGAATAATGACAGTGATGAATAATAATATGAGCAATGAAAATGATAATGATGACAATAATAGTAATAATGATAATCTGATAATTAATGTAATGATTTATAATAATAATATAATAATTAAAAATGATAACAATGATAAGATGATAATAGATGATGATGATGATAATAACAATAATAATAATAATAATAATAATAATAATAATAATAATAAAAATAATAATAATAATAATAATAATAATAATAAAATAATGATAATAACCAATTATAAATAATGAATAAAAATATAATAATAATAAAATAATAACAAGTAATAATAATAATAACAATAATATAATGATAATAATAATACAGTATAATGATAAGATACTATAAAATCAACATAATAATGATAATGATAAGATGAGATCAATAATGTGCAATATGAAACAATAATTGAGTAATAATAATAAGACAATAATAAATTCATAACAATAACCAATAATGACCCAAACTAGTAAAGAATCAATATAATCATGATGATAACAGTACCAATTTTGAAAATAACATTAACGGAAATTATATGAATGAAAAGGTGATAGTAATGATGCTAGTAATGTAATAATAATAGTATAATGAAATGAAATATCAATAATGATGATTATGATGCGATGATCATGATTCTTTATAACAAATCTCAGGATAAAAATAAGGATAGAAGGAAGCTAAACAATAACAGCGAGAGAAATACGATGATGATGATTCGAAGAAAGCAATTAATAAGAGCTGTGAACCCACCGACCCCCACTCCCCATTCCCCCCCCTCCACCCCCCTCCACCCACGCCCACCCAACCCATTCCCACCGGGTTGATGAATGGCCTCGTTGAGAATCTCCATCACCGCTTATGACGCACACAGACGGCCAATTAAGCTGCATCATTCCTGCCTCTCTCTTCCTGCTTCTTCTTCTTCTCTTCTTCTTTCTTCTCCTCTCAGTTGTCTTTTCTCTCTCTCTCTCTCTCTCTCAGCCCGGTTCTCTCTCTCTCTACCTTTCCTCCTCTCTCTTCTTCTCTCTCTCTCCTCTCCCTTCTTTCTCTATTTCTCTCCCTTCCTCTCTCCTCTTCTCCTCTCTCTCTCTCTCTTCTCTCTCTCTCTCTCTCTCTCTTCTCTCTCAGTCTCTCTCTCCTTCTCCTCTCTCTTTCACTCTTCTCTCTTGCTCTTTCCTCTTCCTCTCGGTCTCCTCTCTCGGTGTTTTTTGTTCTCTCTCTCTCTCTCCTCTCCTCCCTCTCTCTCTCTCTCCTTCTCTCCTCTCTGCTTCCTCTCTCCTCTCTCTCTCTCTGCTCTTCCTCTCTCCTTCCCTCCTCTCTCTCGCTTCTCTCTTCTCTCTTCTCCTCCTCTTCGTCTCTCTCTCTCTCTCTCTCTCTCTCTCTCTCTCTCTCTCTCTTCTCTCTCTCTCTTCTTCCTCTCTCTCTCTCCTCTCTCTCCCTCTCTCTCTCTCTCCCTCTCTCTCTCTTTCTCGCCTCTCTCTCTTCTCCTCTCCCTCATCCTCTCTCTCTCTCTCTCTCTCCTCCCGTCTCTGCCTCTTCTCTCTCTCCTCTCCTCTCTCTCTCTCCTCTCTCTACTCTCCTTCTCTCTCTCTCTCTCTCTTCCTCTCTCTCTCTCTCCTCTCACTCTACCTCTCTTCTCTCTCCTCTCTTCTCTCTCCTCTCTCTCTCCACTCTCACTCTCACTCTCACTCTCACTTCTCACTCTTCTCTCTCCTCTCTTCTCTCTCTCTTTCTCTCTCTCTCTCTCTCTCTCTCTCTCTCCTCTACGCTCTCTCTCTCCTCTCTCCTTCTCCTCTTCTCTCTCTCTTCTCTCCTCTTCTCTCCTCTCCGCTCCTTCTCCCCTCTCTCTCCCTTCCTCCTCTCTCTCTCTCCTTCTGCTCTCTCCTTCTCTTCCTCTCTCTCTCCTCTCTCCTCTCTCTCTCTCTTTCTCTTCCTTTCTTCCTCTCTCTCTCTCTCTCTCTCTCTCTCTCTCTCTCCTCTCTCTCTCTCTCTCTCTCTTCTCTCTCTCTCTCTCCTCTCTCGTCTCTCTCTCTCCTCTCTCTCTCCCACACACACACACACACACACACACACACACACACACACACACACACACCACACACACACACACACACCACACACAACACACAACACACCACACACACACTATATATTATTATATATATTATAAATATATATATATAATATATATATATATATATATATATATATATATAGTATATTATATGTGTTGTAAACATAAATATTCATATAAATATCCATTTATCTACTTATCTATCTATCTATCTATCTTTCTATCTTTCTTCTACTATATATATA